GGGGAAAAGGACCGCCCCTGCCCCAAGCCGGCCCCCGATCCGCAGCCGTGGCCAAGCGGCCGGCGCTACCTCTGGGATGGAGATCCTCGCGGGGCTGCGCGCCGTCCTGCCGGATGGCCGACCTGCGGTACACCACGTGGGCCCTCCCGTGCGCCTCCTTCTCCTGCTGCCCCCTCTCCAGGGGTTCGATGAAAAACTCGTTGCTGTCCGTCCGAATCAGGCCCGCCTGGAGTCCACAAAGGAGGAACAGAAAAAAGGGAACGTGTGGGTGTATATAAATAAGTATATACATATTGATATATATGGATAAGCACATGTAGGTGCTCCGTTTCAGGGCAAAACAGGTTCGTTCAACCACCGCAACATCTACCGTAGCTCCACCTTGCCCTTTCAATCAGCTGTACTTTACAGGCCAACCATCAGCGGATGGCAGTGGGCTGAATTCATCATCACGTTCATGTATAATCGCCCTTAATTTCTCCTGTGGGTGGGAAAAGAGCCGGGAAAACCAACCAACCAGGCCACATTTCAAACTACGTCTCCGTACGGCTACAGATCGCCTTTCCTCCTTATCGGCAAAGGGTGGTTTTGCTCAGCCCTCCGCGTCAGAGGAGACGGGCTCCCCCGCCGCCTGGCTTTCTAGCTGCCCTCCCAGAGCTCAGTGTCCACCCCCAAGTCACAGCCGGGCACACCAGCAGGGAAATCGGTCGTTTGACTGACGGCATTAACTACAAGGAAGGAAAAAAAAAAGGAAAAAAAATGAATCACCGTTGCCCATAACGTGCTTGGAAACCGCGGCAGGGGAATCCCTTCCGAGGTTGGAAAGAGTCATGACTCTGAACACCTCCCAGTCAAGGGGAAGAAGAACGAGATGGGAGATGGCAAGCAAACACCGGAAACGTCGTCCCGGCTACTCGCCGCTCCCAATTAACACCAAGCTCCCACAAAGCCCTGCCTGGAAATCAGCTCAAGCAGTTGTACCCCGAAGCACCAGCTGCCGAGGAGCTGGGGCAAGCAAGAGACACCAGGCGACGGGAAATAACCATGTAAAACCAAGTTGCCCGCTCGTCACTGCGTCCGCCCAAATCAGCGGGCTTTCACCTGGTGGTTCCTTCATTGCACACGCAACATCTCCGAGGCGGTGGCAAAGTAAAGGATTTTTTTTATTTTTATTTTTTTAAGTTAAGAGACTCCTCTACACGCAACGCGGCCTCTGCCACCAGCTCTGCTGGCCTCCAGCACACAGGCGCAACCATTTCCCTGCCGCTGCCCTTGGCGCCTGGACTGTCCCTGCTAGCTTATTATTGAATAGCTGCCTGGAAAAGCCGGCAGAACATATAGGTCCGTCCTTACAGCGAAGCCTCTGACAGGACGTACCTACTGGAGTACTCATCAGCGCTCCGTTACTGGAACGGCTTCGTTTTTTTAGTAACTAAAAAAGGATCGCGGGGAGCAGCGCTGGCTTTTCACAGCGGCACGGAGGCATAGCTGGACTTTGTAAACAGCAAGTCAAAGCTGGGGCTCTTCCAAGCTCGCCTGTGTCATTTGATCCCCTTCGCATTCATGTCGGGTTGTACTCATTGTGGCATTCGCCAACCTGGCTCTGCTAAACTTCATCAAATTTCCTGCTCCACTTCAGTTTTATTAGCTGCTTAACTCCTTTGGAAACCACGTTCTGGGCTGGTTTTCTTTCTTTCTTGCTCCCTTGCCTAGGAACCTAGGTACGCTCAGCTTTGCCAGGATCAGCTTGCTTGCCACACGTATCTCAGTTCCTTGCTTTCCGCAGGACGTGGTCAGGCTGCACCTTCGAGCCCCGTCTTCCACGGGCTGTCGGCACATCAGAGGGACCCTCAGCGCAGTTTTGCCCTGCTCTGTCCCCCCGCTCTACCTCTTTTCTCCTCCTCACCTTCAGCTGCTCTCTTTGGCACGCTCCCAGGGATATGGCATTAATTGAAGCGCCGCACTGAGTTCAGCAATGGTGACAAGACTCTTCTGTCTTGCTTTTTTGATCCCCCACCACCGGCATAGCAACAAGGAGAATTTTCCATCCATTTTCTCCTTCCTTCTCATCATCTCGTGGCGGTGCTGTCCCAGTGCTAACGACAACTGGCCAGCCATAACTCTTCTTCCCCCTTCTGTCTCTTCCTTCTTCCATGCTCTTCTCTTCTTCTTCCTCCAGCTCCAGGCCATCACCTCCGTGGGCCTCAGGAACGCCAAACGCGACGAAGCGCGCCACCAGACCGCTCAAAACGCTCTTGCGGGGCCCGCGCGCTCTCGCGGCCGCGTCCTGCACGCCATCGCTCCAACTCAGTTCTTCCTCATACCGCAACGGGCAGCTCCTTCAGTGCCGCCCCAGTGTCTGCACGGGGACAAAGCACCAAGTGCAAAAGCAGTCTGCTGCTCCCACCCCCAGAGGGGCCTCCGAACGATTTGTCTTGCCTATCCACCAGGTTGCCGAATTCCCCTCTGGCTTCGCTCAGCGCCTGCGGAGGAACAGCGCCCATGGCCCGCCGGCGACAGACCCCTCTTGCAGGGCTCCGCGGCACCTCTGGGAGCTGATCGCTCGAGCGGACTGAGATTGCTGAGCGGAGCCCAGTTGTCAAGCGACTGGCCTTTCCTCCGCAGCGTACGTCCCAAATTCACCGGGTTTTTCCCCCGAAGCTGCATTTAGAATTCGTCTAAGAAATACACGTCCCGGGATCTCGCTTTTCTCTGACGCTTGCAGCTTTCGTTTGCCATTTCTCAGTTCTCCATCGACTATTTTTAATGCTGCATTTTAAAGCGCCGGTTTTCAACAGCCAGAGAAGGGAAAACTTCCACCCTAGACCACCTGATATAGTGTTTGCAGCAGACAATTTGCCGAGCATCGTTAGCGCTGAGCGGCTGAAAGCCAGGAACTCCGCGCAGACGTTTCCACGGTGCAGACTGGGAAGTCCCCTGCCAACCTGAGCCGTCGCTCTTCACTACGCTGCAAAAGGTGGTGGGCACCACTTACTTAACTTAAAAAGCGAGCAGCTGCTGCGGCACAGCTCGGACGCAAGAAATAAAGCGGGGCAGGCTTCCTCAGCCGTGCTCTCTCCCCAGCCCAC